CACATGCTCCTCGGTACGAAGGTGATTATGGATATTAGAATATACTGAGTTACCTCTAGAAGTCGCAGGGCTGTGCAAAGTCTGTCGACGATGATGATGGCGAGATCGCGACCTCCTACTCGCGCGGAATTCCTCGCTCATTGCATCCATTCTTACTGTCATGTTATCCATCATCGTTCTCATGTGTAACAGCGTTTCCTCAGTCACTGTTCTGCTACGTTCCATCTCCTCCCTTAGATTTTCCATTTTGCCTCTCGTTCGGACCATTCACAATTCCGATCGAGAGAAAAAACTTTCTGGCGATGCTTCTACGAGTTTTCCGATCACCAGAACAATTGCTCCGATACCAATGATAGAACACTGGTAGTAATGAACACAGAACAATCACAATTCTAAGGAAAATGTAGCTAGAACAGATCACAACAGTTTATTGAGCGAGAGAGAAAGTCGGTAAAGGAGTACAGGGGTGGGACAGTTCGAGATGCCCAATCTCCAAGCTACCAGCCAATGACAAAATAACAGCATGCCTTATTTTGTTCTCTACTTACTATTTATAGCTAATTATCCACGCAGGGACCAACCGAACTAGCTATTATTTAGTTAAGTAATAATACTACTTATTTCTCCTCTTGTACACCTTATTGAAGTATTGAATAGGCTGTTGCTGTCCCCCAAGCCTATCGAAGATCTAGGGAGAAAGAACAGGAAAGAGGAAGAGCCAATAGGGACTTCAGTAGTGAAGGATATATGATTTTGAGAGAAAATAAAATAAGCCTAAAACAACAACATTTAAGCCTAATTCCCGAAAGACCTTGAGGTCGGCTAAAACGAATCGACATATGATATTGGAGTTAAAAAATATTGGGGAGAGAAAGAGGGAGACGTTGAGGTGTAGGCTTCGGCCCACTCAGATCTAGGAGTCACCTGAAGGTTTACGCAATAGGGTATACTCTTAGGAGTCACCAAAAACAATTAGGGTAAACCCTTAATTAAATTTGGGCCTGTTTTTGGTGGCAGTCAGGCCCAATTTTAATTAAGAGTTTACCCTAATTGTTTGTGTATATATACTGACCCCCGTGGATTAGATCAGTAACATCTACTGGCTGAACCACGTTAAATTCATGTGTTTTTCTTTTCTTGTTTTCCAGATTTGTGTGTGTTCTAACCCTAACAACTGGTATAAGAGCCATGTTAGCCACCGCCACAAATCCGACCACCACCACCGTTGTCACCCTATGTCCGCTGATACCATTTGTAGGATTGAAGCGTTTACCGCTACACTAAAAACGATTACCACACTGTGTTCTCTAATACCATTTGTAGGATTGAAGCGTTTATCGCTACACTAAAAGCAATTGCTAATAATGTAGCACGCTTTCTCCCCTTATGGCCCGGGGAGACTAGCATTTATGAAGGGCCGAAGCTTAAGAGGAGACAAACAATATAAAATCAAACCTCCACACATATATTCTTCCTAAACATAGCCCTCTCCAGTGTCATGCTCTCGCCTCTCATATCCAAGTACTATCATATCATTCCAAGGTAAAATAAGCCCAAGGTAGCTCGGCCTAGTCAAGACACAATATTTAACTCTTGAAAGATAAGCATATTGAGATTTGAGGAATTTCTTTTAGCTATCACAAGAGCCCTAATCATAATAAGAAACATAAAGCTAAAGCCTAAAAGGCTAAATGAGAACATGACTAAAACTGAATAAGGAAATAAGAATAATAAGACTTCATGGCCCTCCCGTGTGTCCCTAACAGGAGACACACCTACATCATTACTACCCTTATTGACATTGAGCGTGTCTGCAAGCTTTAAGAAAGTAATAAACACCAAGTTTGTCCACAATCAAACGGCACCATTATAAACCAATGATCAAACGAAAACATTAGATGGTGTAACGGTCAAAGATCTCGATGTGCTCCCCTCATGATATTAGGATGGGAAAATACATTGAACTTAACTGAAATGTGAGTTTAGACCAGTTGTTCCCCATCAGCTTCCAAATGCCTTCATTTTTAAAATACCCGCAGAGAGTTCTGTGCGATTAGAGAGGTATGGAGTTGTTGTGGTGGAGTTATTGGCAGCCACAGCAGGATGGATGCCGCTCATGTGGGTAAAGGTGGCTTGTGGTGGTTACTACTCCAAGGCTAGTGTGTCATGGAAGATTTAGTGTTGGTTTTTATAGAGAACAAGGGGGCAGTACGGAAGAGGAAGGTCTGAGATCCGGGCCTCTGTTGGTTTACTGCAGGCGGGAACGGGCTTGGGCCCACCTCCGTGGGCAGGTAGTGGACTGGGGTTTTAATTTTACTTATTATTATCAAGTTTATGTTATGTTTTCTAGTTTTGGCCTATTATTAGTAGAGTATTTAGTAGAGTTAATTTGGGCCTAATTAGGGTTTACTTAATTTGGGCTCGATTAGGGTTTCTGTTGAGTCTGTTACTAGAAGGGTATTTATACCCCTTGTTAGGATTCATTCTTGTCATCAGTTAATAAAATTGGATTTCAGCCTTTTGGCTCTGGGCAACGGTTTCTACCGATGATTATTCTGGGCAACGATTTATTCCGTTGATTTTTATTTTATGTTATCATCATTAATGGGTTCGGCCTGCCGGATCCCGTCCCGCCGGAACGAAGAGATCACACAGCGATCGTTTGATGAACGAGAAGTTGGATGCGCATGCATGGTTTTAAAAGGCGAAACGCACCTACGCCTCAGAGGCGTAAAAGCGCAAAGGCGCTATCAAATCGCCTGTAAGGCTTGAGCATCACCTTCCACTAACAAGGCTAACGCCTTTTTTTGCTGAGGCGGTGATGCGATCCCAGTGCGCAAGGCGTAATTGAGGCGTACGCATTTCACTAAACGCAACTTGGGCTCTTTTTTTTGAACTATTGGGCCTCGATTTTTTTTTAAAACTACACGTTTATCTCTTAGGTAACACACGACATCCCTAGGTAACTATTTAATTACCTTCCACTACTACTATATTAAGAAACGGCTTGAAAAACTCTCTCAGTCGAAGGCTTGAAGCTGAGTATGTAGACTTCGATCTTTCAGAGTTGCTTTCATCCAGGTATTATTAAGTAAATATACTAAAATATCCCAACGACCACTTGTATAGAATATCCCACCGTGTACATCATACTTCTATAGTTTCTTGTTGTATTTATTGTTTAAGTTAATTTGTTTTAAATTTTTAATTATTTAAAAGTTCAGGTTTGAAGTAAATAGTCTGCTACGTATTTAATGCTTTTTCAGCCACCAAACTATAAAATATTCCACCGCCTCACTATAGTTGTTATGCACTATGCTATTAAGTATTATGGTTGTCAACTTGTCATTCAATATTATTATTTTATTAATTTATTACTGTACTATTGGCCTACAGTTTAAACATTAAAGTGATCATAAAACTATCATTTAGCTTATTTATTTGTCCTGGAATTTTAGTGTTTACGTTGGTTTGAGTTTTGACTTTGGCATTTCAATTTTATGTTATTCTGACTTGAATGTTTTATAGTTATGTTATTTTTACTTGATTTTGTTTAGATGGGATATTCTTTTAAACATTTAAGCAATGATAAAATTAGTTAGTTTACTAATTTACTAGTCAAGATAAAATTAGTAGTTTACTAATTTACTTCAGTCAAGATTTAATTTTAATTAGACATGTTATAGTTAAGTTCATACAGTTTGATTATATTTTTTTTAAAGTTGTTTATCAATTATTTAGTTATTTATTGTGAGTAATTTACTTAAATTCTTGTAAAAAAAATCATTTTATTCATAGGAGTGGGCTGATTACTCACGATGGTTAAACCCAGTAAGAATCAGGGAGAGGGGTCTAGCTCAAATAAGGATAAGGATCCTGCTTGGCAGTATGGAATTAAATTGAATCCTCCGGCAGGAAAGACTGGTTATGTATATGCAAAATGCAAATATTGCAATAAGGTGATCACAAGTGGAGTGGGGAGACTTAAAGAGCACCTTGCGGGAACACATAAAAATGTGGCGCCATGCAAAAGTGTTCCCGAAAATGTTAAAAAGGATGTGCTAGCAATGTTGAAGAACTATCAAGATCAGAAACACGTTAACCAGAAGTTTTTTGATGAAATGGTAGATTCTGGCTCGTACTTTGGAACTGGAGTAACTGGACCTCAACCGCGTGGGCCTATTGATCGCTTCGTTACTCGTTCAGGCAGTAGCTCAAGAGATGTAGCAAATGAGCAGGAAGTTGTAGAAGATGATATTCTGCCTAACAAAATGAGTAAAACTACCATGAGAGAGCGACGCAATCTTGTTTGTCAAGATGTGGGCAGATTTTTCTTTGAAAATGCAATAGCATTTAATGTAGCCCGCAGTCCTTATTTTAACATGTTGCGTTCTGTTAGTAATTATGGTGCAGGCTTTAAACCCCCATCTATGCATGAGTTGCGGACGTGGATCCTTAAAGCGGAATATGATACCACGAACACATATGTGGAAGAAGTGAAGAAGACATGGCCGCACACCGGAGTTACGATAATGTCAGATGGGTGGAGCGACACAAGAAACCGAGGGCTTCTTAACATTCTTGTTAACAACCAATATGGTAATGTTTTCCTCAGATCTGTTGATGCATCGGATCGAGTTAAAGATGCAACTTATCTTTTTGAATTGCTCGACGGAGTAGTTGAGGAAATAGGAGAAAGTCTGGTAGTGCAAATCGTGACAGATAATGCAAGTGCATACAAAGCTGCTGGGAGACTTTTAATGGAGAAGAGGAAGCACTTGTATTGGACGCCATGTGCCGCCCATTGTATTGACCTCATGCTTGAGAAGATTGGAGAGCTGCCACAGAACAAAAATGTCTTGATCAAAGCTAAGAAGGTCACTAATTTTATCTATAATCGTGGATGGGTTTTGCAGCTTATGAGGAAGTTTATCGGGAAAGACCTAGTTCGTCCAGGCCCCACGAGGTTTGCTACTGCTTTCTTGACTTTAGATTGTATGGCCACCGCAAAAGAGCCCCTGCAAAGAATGTTTGTTTCTAAACAGTGGACTTCAAGTCGTTATGCAAAATTAGTTGAGGGGAAGGAGGTTAAAAAGATTGTGATGGATGACAGAACGTTTTGGCCTGGGGTTGCTTACTCAATAAAAACATCAAGGCCATTAGTTGAAGTTTTGAGGATTGTTGATGGTGATGAGCCTGCAATGGGATTCATCTACGGTGCTATGGATTCTGCAAAAGAAAAAATTGCAGAAAATTTTGGAAATCAATATTCCACTTATAGTGAGATTTGGAAGATAATTGATGAGAAGTGGGAGCACCAACTGCATCGGGACTTGCATGCTGCAGCATATTATTTGAATCCCAGATTCAAATGGGAGGATGACTTCTCTACTCATGTGGAGGTTAAGAAAGGTTTGTATGCTTGTATGGAGAGGCTTATTTCTGATAGTAGTGATTTTAACCAAGCTGATGCACAAATGGATGAATATCGATACAAGCGTGGACTTTTCGGAATGAGGGCGGCTCAAAATTCATATAAAACACGTCCCCCAGGTAAACATTAAACTACATCTTTAATATCTTTAATGTTTATACATAGTGTACTTGTGTATTGTTGCAAAACAGAATTTTTTTTAATTCTTTAACATTTTTTAGTGGAATGGTGGGATCAATTTGGAGATCATATTCCAGAACTACGGGCTTTTGCGGTCAAAATTCTTGGCTTGACGTGTTCTTCTTCCGCTTGTGAACGAAATTGGAGCACATTCAATCAAGTCCATACGAAGAGAAGGAATCGTCTTTCAGCCATTAAGTTGAATAGTTTGGTATTTATAATGTTCAACAAGAAGTTGAAGTTTAGGAAGAGCAGATTACAAAAGAAAGAGGATAATTTGATCTTCGATAATGTATCATCTGATGATGAGTGGATTGCTGAACCGAATGCAGATGATGGAGAAAGTGTGGATGCACGTGATGAACTTGCATTAGTTGTTGATGAAATGGACAACGAATTCAGAGGTTCATAACTTTATATTTTATTTTTTTGTCCCTTCAATATACTTATTTACACTTGACTTCCATTCCGTTTCATTCTATTTTTGTGACTTTATGTGTGTAGGGGTGGACCTTACAGTTGGAACTGAAGAAGATAATGAGGCCCGTGAAAATGAAGGAGATGACAATGAGAATGACATTACTAATTTGGATACTCATGAAGAGGACGATAGGCTTAGTTTTGAAGATTAATAGTTCCAATTTGTCAATTTGCAAACTTAAACTCCTAAACTTTTATTTTCTTGTCTTAGAATTTTAATGTTTTATGTTCTTTTGAGTTTTGACTTTGGTATTTCAGTTTTATATTATTTGGACTTGAATATTTTGTAGTTATGATATTTTTACTTGTGATTTTGTTTAGATATGTTATTGTTATGAATTATCTATACCTTCTAATATGTCATAGGCTTGTAGATACACTTAAGCAATTAAATTTCGGGGCTTACGCCTCGTTACGCCTCGAGGCTTACGCCTCGGAAGGCTACCCCCGAACGCCTCGAGGCCCGATTTCGCCTTTCAAAACCTTGTGCGCATGGCATCCGACTGGAGGAGATCAGCTTCTCTCGCTGCACTCGTGAAGGCCGTGGTCCCGCCAAAGAAGGAGCCCGCGTCAACCAGCGATGTTGCATCTACGCATACGGTCAACGGAGGGTCACGCAGCACGGCAACCAACCTGCTACCCTCGTTTGATGGCGAAGACCCCATCGGATGGATGGCCAGGGCTGAACAACAATTCGAAATCAATCAAACCCCACCTGAAAGAAAAGTGGCAGCAGCTATGGTAGCCATGGAAGGGGCTGCCCTGTACTGGTTGACCTGGTTGAAGCCACGGAAACCGAGCATGGCTTGGGAGGAACTGGTTGACCTGATAACAATGATTATAATACTGATAATAATACGCTTCTTCCGTCGATATCAGACACAAAAGAATTAATTATTTAAAGATAGTACATTTCTTGGAAAGCAGGTGTGGAGAATAGTGAATGATCCTAACGCTCTGGTGAGCCGTATTTATAAAGCAAGATAGTTTCTCAGGTGTTCTTTTGTTGAGGCAGCAGCTGGCAGTAATCCGTCCTTCATTTGGCAGAGCCTTCGCGAGGCTCAGAAGGTGATACGAGAGGGACTTAGATATCGGGTGGGAGATGGCAGCACAGTAAGTGTTTGGAATGACGCATGGCTGCCAGATGAGAAAAATGGAAGAGTGGTCACTATCCCACCAATTCCATTACGAGATATTACGGTATTCCCTTAAGCAATCGTAGAGTCAGAGATGGTACTTATTGGGTGTGAGAAGAGAGGTATGTATACAGTAAAAAAGCTGCTACAGACACTTGATGGGAGAGTTAAGGCCGGATGGATGGCTGGGGTGGGTAAAGATGTGACGGTACCGGATTCCTCTAAAGGTAAAACACTTTTTTTGGCAAGTTTGTTCTGGATGTTTACCCACAGCGACAAGATTACGAGGGAGGAGAGTAGATGTACCTGTGATGTGTAGTCTCTGCAATGGAGGAGAGGAACCGAGCTTCACTTGTTTGCTGACTGCCCACTTGCACATGAAGTGTGGCACCAGCTGCGCAGCAGTCTACTGGAGGTGCAAGCTTCCTCCTTTCTTGATTGGGTTAAGATAATGTTTAGTCAGAAAAGTGAGGAAGAATGTTGCAAGTTGATCACTCTTTGTTGGAGCATTTGGCAGGCACAAAATGACAAGGTTTGGAATCAAATTAACAGAGAAGCAAAAAGCATCATTATTCATGGGGAGGCTTTACTCTCAGGTTGGTGGGCTACTCAAAGACCAGTAGCTACTGGAAGTATAAACAGCCGAGTTGGGTGCGAACATTGGGTAAGGCCAGATGCGGGATGGATTAAACTGAATACCGATGCAGCAATTTGTGATCGAAATGGTCAAAGGGGCTTTGGGTGGATTGCCAGGAACGCAGCCAGCCAATTTCTGGCTTGTGCTTCAACCCCATGACCTGGTACCTGCTCGGTTAAAGAGATGGAGGCACTAGCAATTCGGGAAGCTTTGTTATGGTCAAAATCACAGGATTGGGAGAAAATTGTAGTGGAAACAGATGCGCTTCATGTGGTTTCTGGACTAGCCGAAGAACCTGGAAGCTCCTATTTTGACCTTATTTTAGATGATATTAGAGTCATGACCACATCTAACGTGAAACGATCTGCGAATCAGGTAGCTCATAAGCTTGCTAGAGTTTTCGTTTTTTTGTCAAATCGTAGAGTTTGGTTGGATGTTTCTCCTTCATTTATTGTAAGCCTTACGGCTAATGATTTGCTTAATTAATTTATAGAATGTTCTTTGATTTCTTTCCAAAAAAAAGGAAACAAGCCAACAACTACTCCCTCTATCACAAACTAATTGTGATTTTAGACACTTTTTGTCCCAAGATTTTTAACATTTTAGTAATCTGATGCATATTATGTACTAATCTCGCAAATTTTCCCTTATTGACTGCTCTCAAATTAAATGTTGATTTGCCTTAAAAAACATTAAATATTGACTATTGTAGGGAAAAGAATGTAACTTTGTAATTATGGACTTTCCTAAAATGTCAATTAATGGGAGCACTAAATTTTAATAATAATAAGAATAATAATAATAATAATAATAATAACAATTACAATGACAATAATAGGTAAAAGTAAGAGTAATAATAATACTAATAGTAGTAGTGGTGGTGGTGGTAGTAGTAGTAGTAGTAATAACAATAATAATAATAATATTAATCATATAATAATGGCTATTAGCCCTGACTGGGACTAAAAATAGTCCTAAATGCAACAATAGGACTATACTTTTTTTAATCAGGAGTGATGTATGTTCTTCCTATTCTCCCCTCTTCCTATAATTTCTAATAGATTTATTTTATTTATATGAAAAAAATAGTTTTATTTATCATAAAAATATTTAAAAAAAGTAATAATAAAAATGGGAAAAAATAAAATGAATTAAAAAACATCAAAATAAAATAAATATATAATAATTTTTTAAAAAAACTTAAAAAATCTAATAAAATAAAATACCTAAAAAAATATGTAGGCCTCTGCCACCGCATCTTCCACCTCCCAGCACCACTAGCTCCGATCGCCATAAAAAAATGCCATATTGTGTAAAAAAGGCAACATTCCTCTGAAAATGTCATGAAGATGACATTTTTACTTTTTGAAAAGATCCAACTTTTTTCCAAAATTGCCATCATAATGACATTTTTTTCAACTTGGCATTCTTTTCCGGGATCGGAGGTGGTTGAGGTGTGGTTGAGGCCTGTATATTTTTTATTTATTTTTATTTTTTTATTTTAATGTTTTTATGTTTTATTATTATTATTTAAGAATTCCTATTAAGAATGACAAGGGATAGAATAGGAAGCGTTAGTCCTATTTTGGGAATTTAAACTTTAAGCTCTTATTGCTGCAAGTTTGCTTTAATTTACCCCTATGTAGGGAAATCTCCCCAACTATAATAATAGTAATGACTCACACAGTCCTTTGTGTGGTCCTAACACAAGACACACCCGCAGTTACACATCAGAAGTTAACTCCACCAGATCCGAATTCGAGAGACTCATAGGATAAATGGTCCAAGCAAAAAAACTGGAACCTATCAAAATTAGAGATTTGAGTCACATGATACCTTCATACCTCACACATGCTAGTTGACTCTACTAAAATATTGTCTGCAGCCAATACAATATCATCCCGATGATCAGTAGGAAGGTTCAGTTTTAATAAATCAAGATTGACATGTACAGGGAAATATCCAATATTCATAAGAAGAGTAACTGCTGAGGATGATGTTTTAGCCATGCCCATGGCCTTGAGGATCTGACAGTGGACAAAACAGACAAATAAAAAACCCAGTGTGAACATGTAACCTCTGCAGCGTCGATTAGAAAATTAACTGAAAAGGTAAGATAAAATTGGCATCCCAAAACCACTTAGAGGTGTCTTCCCTAAACCAGCTTACCATTGAAGGCAAATATAGTAATTGGCAAAATAAATAGATCAGGAAAGTAGGAAACAACTCATCTCACCGCCCCCACCAATCTCTTTCGGTCATCATTGATACAATTATCAACAGCAAAATCTTCAAGAGACTGGATTTTCTCCCAATTTTTTGTTTCAGTCATCCACATAGCGTTTGGAGGTTTCGCATGTGGAGGCATCTCTTCAATAGATTTTAGCAACTGAACGAACTCCTCAAGTTCCGTCTCATCAGCCTCTTTAGCAATCTTCCTTTGTAGAAGTTCATGTACCTTTAAAAAAAATAGTTAACGACTAGAAGAGCAGAAAGTATAAACTTAAAGTCACTGTTCCAGCTTTAGGAATCATGCTTCATGCCCATATGTTAATGGCACACATTAAGGTAAAACCATAAAATACTGAGCTAAGTAAAGTTACAATATAATGCACAATGAATATGGCATATTCAAGTACTGAAAACACATGTAGCACGCAAGTAACATAAATAGTGCAACAGGATGAACCAAAATTTTATTAACGTACTAACTCAGATCGTGGAAACAAGAAGAGGAATGATATATGATAATATCAGATATGACCACAAAAAAGAAACAGAGTACCTGCCTAGGGGGTCGAGGTCCATAAATAGAATGAGAACCTTTAGTCCCCAAACGAGTGAAGTATATGTCATCTCTAGATAATAGCAGATGGGAACAATAGCTCTCAAGAGGTTCCGCACTACCAAAAATCATCTGTTAAGATAGAACGCGGTCAATATTAAAACAGAACAGTCGAATTACAAACAGATCAAATCCACACCTCTGCTAGTTCATCCACCGTGACAGATTTATTATTATCAAGAAGCTCATTCCATGCAAACTCAAGTAGAGCAGGATCCTTTAAAAGAAAAACATTGTAAAACAAGGTAAGCTTTCAAACAAAAAGGAAGAGAGGAGGAAGTGAAATATATACTTTCAGATCACACAAGTCACTACCAGGTTATCAAACGCTTTCTGGACAAAGTTTGATATGTTGATGGGGTCAAACGTATCAATCCCAGGAACAATAAAAGTAACTTGCTGTGGTTTAATTGAGGCTGTTACACCATTCTGCACCATTAGGAGTAAGAAAATCAGACCAAACACTTCAGTGAGACTAATTACATCTTATACATGTCTTGCAAACCTGATCCAAGACCATCCAATTCTTTTTCCCATCAGGTCTGAGAGCAACTGCTAGCAATAGCCTTTCAGTGTCCTTCTTGAATTCTAGCAGCAACCCCCTTCGCATAGTCCGCTTTTCTACTTTGTCTTGTAAAAGCTCATCAGTGCTTGTTAATCCCAATCTGCACTAGGCTACTAATCATTTCCGAACACATGATATGTAAAGATAAGTTCACCACATGTGTATGCCTAACACAATCATAAGATTATAGTGCTGACTCTTTTATTTGAAAATATTAATGGTTTAGTTCAGCAGTAAAGATGTGTATATTAACAATCATACTATAAGAGTTTCATTTATTGATATGTAAATTTCTTGTCAAAC